GGGCTCGCTGCGCGGGGAGCGGCGGGGATTGCCATGGCTTCTCCCACGTACACAAAACAGCGATCCCGTCTGCTCGCTGTGGGGCCGCGCACTGCTGCATTGTATTCCCGGGTGCCCCCGCCTGGGCTGAGCGCTTGCAGGTACTGCAGGCGTTTACAGTCGGATGCCCAGAGCAGATCTCTTGTCAACTGAATTTATCCACGCTACATCAGTGGGTTTTCAACCTTTTTCATTTGCTTATCTCTAACGAATTTCAAATGGAGATGAGGACCTTTTTGGAAATCTTAGATATCGTCTGCAGATCCATTGGGATCCATGAAACCCAGGTTGAAAACCATTGTTGTAGACAAGTATGGGCGGGGAAGCTGTGTTAGTCTGATCTGCATAAACAATGAGCAGTCCTGTGGCACCTTATACACAATCAGATTTATTGGAGCATAAGCTTTCGTGGGCAAAGACCCATTTCCTCAGGTATCTGACGAAGTGGGTCTTTGCCTGCGAAAGCTTATGCTCCAATAAATCTGATCTTGTATAAGGTGCCACAGGACTTCTCGTTGTTGTAGACAGATTCTCAGCAAGCTGGTCTCTCTATTCACTCAAGATACATAACTTGTACCTTTACTTTAGTATGATCATTGTTCCACTCCAACCAGAAAAACTACTTACTACCCTAGAAGTGTTATGATAATATAGTACTAGCAATTTTTCTCAGTTTCCTTGCACAATGGTATCTGGGGTGTGAATTAGAATGGGGAGGTGAATGGAGGAATTTCATCTCCGCAGAGTTTTTTCCATCCTAAAATCCAGGAACTTTTTTCTCAGGCCTACCCAACCGGATGTCATTCTGAAGGCATGCGCTGTGAATCAAATCCATTAACTAGACTTGTAGAATGTAGCAAATAAGTTCCTAAATAATGGGTTTGGCAGATGATATTTAGGAAAGTCAGAGTAAAGTTTCAACCTTAAGGAAATATTATCAATGTGAAATATAGCCAATTTCAGAAACTTAGGCTCAGTGGAGAGTGTCTATTTTTGGGTGTAATTTCATAATGAGGAGTCACAAAAACACCCATGTGGTTCATCAGCAGAGTTACAAACTATAGATTCAGATTAGTTTTGTTTCACTTGGGCTAACAGTGTAGTAACATATAGAAGTAATATGTTGTCATTCAGTTTGGGGAACAACCACTACTAGAGGGTGAACGAGAGACACTTTGCCAGGAGATTTCAGAGAGATATGCTAACAGCAGAAGTATACAGAGACTGAGGAATCTTATATATTCTAGTCACAAATCCTTCTGCTTTGTCCCCTCCAGCCTATCTCTGTCCTAGAGTTGTCTGTCTTCCCCCAAACTCACTGCTGTAGCTCCTTGGCTTTCCATCCTTCTCCAAGTCCCAATACCTAGCCAGTCCCAGTTTTTCCTAGTCTCCCTGCCTTGAGTCCTCATGCCAATCTCCCACCAGGCTCTTTGTCCTAAATTCGTATTCCCTTAAGCCAGGGGAGGGGAACCTTTTTTTGGGTGGGGCCACTGACCCAGAAAAATCATTCAGGGGCCACACACAAGTGAGAAGCGTAAAAAAACCAACCCCCCCCCAAAAATCCACAACCCACCCCTCACTAACATGGTCCCTGACTGAAAAGGAGAACGACACTCCCCACCCCCTTGCACACCAGAGCCTTGGGGCCCAGCCTAGTAGATTTTGAATGCTCCAGCCCTGTGGTGGAATAGCAGGGGAAGGCGGGGAGGGGCTCATGGTCCCTGACTGAAAAGGAGAACGACACGAATAGCAGGGGAAGGCGGGGAGGGGCTGAACCTTGGGAATTGGACCCAGGCAAGCTGGGGTGCTTCCTGCAGTCCCTGGGGCCTGAGATTCCCCACCCCTGGCCTAAGCACTATGGATGTTAAAAAGTAGTTAATTATGTAACCATCTAACTGTTAAAAATCTTAGTGGTTACATGGTGGCTCCTTGCCCCATTCCCATGGACTGTGCTGCGGGCTTCTGCAGTATAAGCTTTATACTGCAGAGCCAGCAGCACAGGTGGCAGCTGGCTCCCTCGAAATGTGGCTTGGAGCTGGTGTGTAACCATTAGGTAACTGATAGGCTTGTGCTTATTGGTTAACTGTTTAAACAGTCACACTGTTATATCTCTACTAAGCACCTCCTCTAATCTCAAGTTCCTCGTCCCTCGCATACTCCCAGCTTCCGGATTTGCTAGGCTTCTGATTTGTCACTGTCAAAAAGTGATCCTGGTTGCTCTGGTCAGCACTGCTGATTGGGATACTAAAATAACAGTGGACTACACAGCGGGGTTAAGGCAGGTTCCTTGCCTGCCCTGGCTCTTCATGGCTCCGGGAAGCAGCTAGCATGTCCAGCTTCTCTTTGCTCAGAAGCTGGCAGTCCTTCCATCTCCTTGTTCCAGACTATTACTTCCATTTCCCACCCTGATTCAGTTCTAGTCCCCTCTGCATATGAGTGAGGACTCTTCTTATTCCATATTGACAGGACTCCAGCATGGGGAGCATTGCAAACGCCTGAGACTTTATTCTCACTGTTCTGGTGCCTGTTCCACTGGAATCTACAGCAATTGTAAGGAAAGTCCAGCTCATTGTGCATAGCAATGTTGGAGAATTTAGCTGACAGTTTCTAACAAGTTTCAATTGAGCAAGTGCATATCGAAATGTTTCAGAGGCATATAAGTTTTTCATGGATGTACCTTTTGCTACACCTCTGTCAGATTTCAAGCCCTTGCTCTAAAGCATGGACACTCAGTGCAACTGGCGTAAGATTTTTTTTATGTGAGCAAAACAATATATTTTTCCCATATATTTGAAAATAGCTGCTATATTTTTGCTGAAACTGTAGCAAAAATCAGTCTTTATAGGCATCTAGCATGGGACATTTCAGACTGAATCTTCAGCTAAAGTTATAAGTAACTTAAAACAGGGTGTTATAATGTGAAGTATTGGACTAGCCTTGTTGCTAACAGTTCCACCTATGTATTTAAGTTACAGCATTTCCAGTGTTTCACTTGTAGTACTCTACAATCTTTTATTTCTTAGTGATAAGAAAGCTTTCTTGACATTTGATATAAATGTTCCTTTTATGTGATATTTGCATTTAGTGTACAATTAAATAATTGTTTGAAGAACAAGTTCTCAATTTGTTGATACTGTAGTACTTTAGGGTATGTCTGTGCTACAGAGAAGATTGAAACTGCCGCTGTCAATCTTCCAGGTTTGAATTAGTGAGTGTAACGGAGACACGCTAATTCGAACTGAGAGAAGCACTACGGTCAATGCTTGTAGTCCTGCTTCCACAAGGAGTAAGGGAAGTTGAAGGGAGAATGTTCTCCCTTCAACTTCCTGCAGTGTGTACAGCACCAAAAGTCAAGTTAAGGTACTTCCATTTCAGCTATGCAATTAACCTAGCTGAAGCTGCATATCTTAATTTGACCTTATCCTGAAGTGTAGACATATCCTAACAGTTGGATATTTATTAAATAGGAGGATAAATGTTCGAGTGAGGATTGAGCTACAATCAACATCTAATCCTGTTCATAGAAAGGTGCGTGGTGCTTGCTCTTCCTTAAATATTTTAAGTCTCTTCTTACTGATATGTAAAGAGAGAACAATATGAAGCTTTACTACATTTGTCATTTAATAGGTTAAGGTCTTAAAATCCGCTGTTAGTATTCAGATTTGTTGACACATTGCTTTAGGTTTTTTCCTTGCCTTATTAGTCTTTTATCTCAAGTTTTCAGTTTCATAGATCTTTTGTGTTTGAGGGCTAATAACCATAGCTAGTAACAGTTCCCGCCCCCCCCATTGACCCATTTTTGTTTGACTCTTACTTTAGAATTCTCACCTGTTGATTTTAAAGATGTGTTGTCTGAACTTCACACCATTCCCTTTTCTAGTTAATTAAAACAAGCACTTCTTCTTGATATGGTGAATGTAATACATTATAATTTTATAGGTAGCTAATCTAGATATTTTTTTAACATATGTAGCTATCATCATAACACCTTTGAAAGACTGGTTCCATACTGATACTTCTAAACATCCTTGACATGCTTACTTTTTTATTATTATTATTTGTTAAAGATCTCAGGATAACTTGTTCACCCTTTTTCCAGCCCTTTATGCTGTATAAAATGGCCACAGAAATGTAAACGGAATTTAAAAGCCATGATCTCAACTGGGGGAGAATTCCCACAGTGCAGGAATTGAGGAAGACCACGTGAGCATGTATTTTAGAGACAGGGGCATGTAACTTATTTTGGAGACAAGAGCAACCCAAAATTAAGGGTGAAAAGGTGGTTTAAAGCAGTGGTTCCCAACCTTTTTTATACCATGGACCGGCAAACCTATTCACAGACTTTTGGCGAACTGGTGTCATTGTATTTGCATATTCATT